TGGCTCACGCCTGTAATCCCAGCACTTTGGGAGGCCGAGGCGGGCGGATCACCTGAGGTCAGGAGATCAGACCAGCCTGGCTAACACGGTGACACCCTGTCTCTACTAAAAATACAAAAACTTAGCCGGGCGTGGCGGCGGGCGCCGTAGTCCCAGCTACTCGAGAGGCTGAGGCAGGAGAATCGCTTGAACCCGGGAGGCGGGGGTTGTAGTGAGTCGAGATCGTGCCACTGCACTCCAGCCTGGGCGATAGAGCAAGACCCTGTCTCAAAAAACAAAATAAAAACAAAGAGCATTGAATGGGGAGTTGGGTCGCCTGGGTTCCAGGCCATTTCATCTTGACAGGCCTTGGACTGTGTCCTTGGACTCGTCTCCTTCACCTTCCTGAGCATCAGCTTCTTGACAACCTTTTTTTTTTTTTTTTGTGAGGAACTTCTGAGACAATGGATATAACACGCTTCGTAAACTGCGAAGCATCCTCCTCAAATCAATGTTCGTGCCATCCTTGGTCCCCGGCTCCTAGAGGGGTCACTGCACAAAGACCCAGGCCAGTGACTCGCTGTGTTTGGGGACGGTCGTGTCGCCCCCGAGGCAGGGGCCAAGATGCTTCCTTTCTTCTGGATCTCCCAGGCAGCGCCAGGTCCCAAGGCGGTGTTGACTGAGATTAGGAGTTCAGGAAAACGGCCAGGAGGACAGAGGGCGCTGTCCCCCCTCGAACTGAGCAGGGCTTTAGATTTAGAGGAGGTGCTAGATTTACGCATGCGCACCCTCTCCGGGAAGACCTTGAGAGACCCAGCCAAAATTGGCTCTCTCAGCTCGGTTTTTCCCCATCTAGGGCTACATCTTCTGGGTGCGCATGCGTCCTGCCCGGGTGCAGTTGGCTGATGATTCCGTCTGTCACTGGCAGAGCCAGCGGAGTGAGGCTGAGGCTCCGCTTCCCGCCCTTCGGCAGGGGCTCGGAGAGTGGACTGGGGTCTTTGTCCGCACCCACTGCAGTGTCGGACAAGCGGATTGAGGCGCCTTCCCGGCCGCGGGCCGCAGGCTTGGAAGCGTTGGTTGGCCGAACCATTGCCTCATTTGCCTTGTCACAGCCGGGAGGACGCCGCGGGAGAGGGGTGAAGGGGCTGCTACGTAGGGCGGCGGGACTGGCGCTGCATCCGAGCGGGGTCCGAGGACCAGTTGCCAGTCAGCCATTTATTGAGCGTCTCCTGTGTGCCATACACATAGGAATATGGTGATTTCTCCCTTCGGGGAGTTTACAGCGTAGAGGAGATTAAACAAGTGACTTTACTGCCTTCCCTCGACCTCCCTTCTACCCCTTCGCCTTAGATGGATATTTTCTCTTTCTGAACCCGGAACCGCTCCCTCCTCCCCGCCCGGCTATAGCTGGCAGGGCAGGGATTGGATGCCTCGGCCGGCGCCAGCCTTCGCTCTCCGCCGAGGGTAGTGACACAGGCGAGGACGTTCCCCTCAGGTCACGTGAGGGCGGGACCTGGCGGGCTCGTGACCTTCCCGTAGGCGGGGTCCCTCTCCTCCCAGCTCCGGCCGGCGTCGTCGTCACCAGCTTTTATGGGGCACGTGGCGGCTGATGCGCAGTAAATAGGAGTGACTCTCCCCTGCGAAGGCGGGGACCGCACTTTATGAGACCAAACAAACTGCCCGAGCGAAGCCCTTGGAGCTGTAAACAATTGGCAGCAAGTACAAAGCAAAGGTGGCAGGGTGGAGAGGGTGACGGGGAGCGGGGCGGGAGCATTGTCAAACGTAAATCAGTCCGACTGGAAGCGCTAAATCCTGAGCCCCCCCCAGGCTGATCTGAACTAGACCTAGCTGGGAGAAGAGCGGGAGGCTATAGGAGCTTCCTAGTGCCTCCTTTTCCTCTTGGGCCTCTGGTTTACCAACTGTGAAATAGGGCAGGGGAATGGACTTTGGGCAGTGACACAGTGATTTAAGACTGCAAACAGAGTGCCGGGCGCGGTGGCTCACGCCTGTCATCCCAACA